GGGGAGGAGGGAATGAGAAAAGGAAGGGAGGGAAGGAGGGAGGGGGAGGGGGCTCCAAAGCAGCATTCTGCCTTAGGGTCTGTTCACCCAAGAAGCAGAAGCTGGCCAGTAAGGACTGAACAGGAGCACTCACATTACGTGCGAGGCTTGGTTGTCTTAACTGTGGTTAACTTTCTACATGTGCCTTGGCTTCTTGTATGTGGATCAACGGGTGTCTTGTACAAACACAGCCTTAGGGTACTCAAAGGTCCCAGGGCAGTCTTTTTCACCCCGGCAACTTTGAGACGTGTCGACTGAAGTTGAAGTCCACGCATGCTGGCTGGGGAATTCTGGGAGTTGAAGTCCACACATCTGAAAGGTGCCAAGGTTGAGAAACGCTGCCCTAGACAGACCTTGCCTCCCACCTCTGGGTCTTCCCTCGTGGATCTGGGCCGGACCTGGCCACTGGCGGGTGGGGGGGAGACCTGCAAGGGGGTGGTCTTAAACCAGAAAGCTTAAACAGAAACCGGGCAAGCCGAGGGACCAGGCAGAATCGGCTAAAGGTGGAACCCGAACAGAACCAGCAGCTTTCCCGGACAGGGAGCTGGCCCTCCCGGTAGGCAGAGGATCACAAGTGGTCTGCCAAGGGCAACTTTGAACACGACTGCTATTGTTGCCTCTGTCCTGCCGGAAAGACACCTTTGAGGCGCTCCTGGTCTCAGACGCCAAGGTAACCTGGCCCACCTTGCGGGGGGGGCAGCTTGATTTGGGAGGTGCCTTGGTGAACAGCAGGCTGGAGGAAATGAATTGCACTTACCTGCAGGATGTGCCCCCCTAAGTGCTGTTCGAAGAGCTCCGTCAGCAGCGCATTCATATTCCTCCGACCAGAAGCTAGGGAGAAACCAAGATCCAAAGGTCAGCGAGAAGGATCCCGTTTGGCACCCCCCACTAAGCTTCTTGGTGTCGTGAAGCCCAAGACGTCCCTTGCTACGGACAGGGCTGCGCTAAGAGGATTCAAACCTACCCACGATATCTGCGAATCCCTACTCGGCTTTTTTCCTCTTCTCCAATTTAGTCCTGAGACTCCAAAGGTGGGCTCAGCGTTGGGGATTTTGAAGAGCAGTCGCTCGAGCGTGATCCGCGTGCCATTCCCCAGATTCCCCACCCTTCTGGGGTCAAGGAACTGCCGAACATCTCGACTGAACCATCTTTGATCTTACCTCCGTCAAAACTCAGGAAAGGATTAAAGGGGATCTGCCCACAGAGGTTCAGTGGGTCTCTCAGATTGAAGGAAACCTGAGTGTGAAACTGACCTGGATTCTGCCCTCCTCGAAATTCGAAAAGGACCAGGGGCCGTCCCCACACTCAGCAGGGGAGTGTGGTACCACACTGTGACATCACAGCAGTCCAGCCAACGGCTGGCTGAAGCCCACATCAATGGCCATTCAGCCGTCTAACATCCACCGATCAGCGCGTGCCCCCTAAACCTCCTTCGCCTCGTTCCAAGGCAGGAATGCATCTTCAGGGGTGGGGGAACCCCCAACACCTCTCAGGCCAGGGCTACTAAATCAAGAAGTTAAAGGGGGCTTATGGATACGTGTCCCCCCCACCCCAGGGCTGCTCCTTGTCGCCCAAGCAAGACGACTTTTTTAAACCCTGAAAACAGGTTCTCCCAAAGCCAGCCAGAGACTCCACAAACAAAGCAGTGGGGAAGACGAGAGCCTCAGGACCAGATTTACCGAGCCGTCTGGCCCAAAAGAAAAGCGGTTGACGAGAGCAATACCTGCCTCTTAAATTTTGCTTAACTTTACCCAGGGCAGGGAGGAATACGCAGGTCTCTGCCCAGGACCCTCCACCAGCAGGGAGGAAAGGAGAAGGCGCTCCCTTTGGGGAAAGCCAAGGATGGAGCTGGAGGGGGAAGGGGAAGGGGAAGACAGGACGCGCCATTGTGTCCTGCACATTCCTGCCAGATGAGAGTAGAATACTTATCAGCCCCGCATTCACCACGCCCCGGCGAAACTGAAAAGCTCAGCAGCCCCCACGCTAACCTTTCCTCCAGCCCCTCGGCTCGCTGCAGCACAGGAGGGCAGAGTTCCCTGGCTGGGAACGGAGAAGGGGAAGGAAGGTGGGCCCGAGGGGACGGGCATGTCATCCCTCTCTTTCGGCCGGGTGGGCAACGTACAGCTCCTAGCACAGCCTCTGGGCCACACAAGCAGCGGCGCGGGAACCCCACCTCGTTCCGTGTTTTGACCCAACTGGGACCGAAGGTGAAGACAGAAGAGCCTAAGAGCCCGGACGCTGGAGCAGGCCAAGAACCCGCCTGGCTTAGGGCCTGTATGCCATGGGGGCCAACCAGATGTGTGGCGGACGCCTGGGCTGGATGGATACTTAGGGGGTGACCCCCCTCCGCTCTGGCCCCACTGTTTATGGAAGATGCCCACGACTGAGGAGGCAGAAGACTTGCAGCCACCAAGAGCAAAATCTTCCACCCACTTGAGAACTGCCTAAATTGGTGGCTGGCCCAACTGGCAGGGCGCTCCACGTTTTCTGATAGTGTGGAAGGGTTTACCTAGCGCTGGTCTGGGTGTGGCAGGAGCGCACTGGCCGTCTCCTCCTGAACGGCTGGATTGGAACCCGTGACACAGCCACAGAAACGCTCAGGAACCCCTGGACAGGTTGCTTTAGTACACAAAAGCTGAGAAGCCATCAGGAAAGCGTTCCTGAGCATCAAAAGTGCACCTCTTTCCCCTGCTGGCTCCACATAGAGAGAGACTTTCCGGGGCAAAAAAGAGTTTGCAACTTGTCCCTCGTTTTGGTAAACGGACCGATCTCGGATCAAGGGGGTTACTTTTGACCTTGCAAGAACTAGTTTTCACACGGAAGGGAGAGGAGGGGTATTGGAAGCGTTTCAGCAGGACACGGGTCAATTGTCCAGGCTGCTTCAAATGCCTCTGCCCCCAATTCCCAACTAGGCAGCAACCGCTGAGTGGCTAAAACAGTGTTGTCCAAACTTGGCCACTTTAAGATGAGTGGACTTCAACTCCCAG